ATTTACACCTCTTAGTATCAGCTGGGGATCTGATTCATTATTTGTGGACTCTAAATTTCTCACTAAGTTTTGCTTCGTTCTTTACCACAAAAGTACTGACAGGAAAATGTTAGTAACAGCTCTTCTCTCAGTATCTTTCTTATTAATTTGAGTAGGCTCTTTTTTTAGTGACTTTTAACTTTGATGTTGTTAAATACGGCTACACTGAAGACTCTCAGTACTGGCGAATCTGTTTTCCTGGAATATCTTATGTTGTTTTCAGAATTGCATGGTTGTGTGACATCTGCTCCACATCTCATACGTGATCGACTGAGTAGGTACAACCGTGGCAGATGGCTGATGACTCACCTCACAACACTGAACACTGGTTTGCTTTCTGAGAAGCAACATCTTCATATTAATTTTCTAAGAGTCTTGCAAAGATGTGACCAGTCTGCCTGGTTTGATAGCAGGTAATGTAAGTTACAGGAAATGCACAGGGATGCAACAGCAACATTTATTCTAGGACTGGGGGTAATATTTTTAAATTCAAATTTTGGGCTACTATCAGATAAATCCACAAAAGGAAATCAGGTTCACTGCTGTACTTTCTAAATTTTAGGCATCTAAATAGCAAAATCTGGATCCCTGAATCAGTCAGAGATCTAGGCTTCCTATGCAAAGGAGATGATACAGAATAATATCCACAGAAACCATTCACTTGAGTGAGGAATCAGGGAACATCAGAGAAAAGGATATACCTTAAACCCTGTTCTCTCTGTGATTTGGATGCCCTGTTCCAGGCTGGGGGGAATACCATGAAGATTCACAGATCACAGACCTGGGTAGAAGGACATTCCCAGCTCTTCTAACATCCCATGATAGATAACGTATGCCCCTGCTATACTGGAGACCTTTGTTCTGTTGACTGTCAGATTGAAACAGGCACAGCCCAAGTAGCACGTGTAGCTTGGGTAGGCTAAGTTCTGGTCAGTTGTAAGAAAACTATTGCAAGAAGCCACAAGTTTACTTATAATGACATTACCTCGCAAAGTTAACTTTGTCCATTACTAAAACTGAAGAACCTCGGTAACAGTTTGTTATCCCCTCTCATTCTTACAGACTCCTTGGCCCAGCAGAACAAGATGACTGGAGGGAACTCCAAAGAGCCATTCCTAAACCACTTAATTTACAGCTCTATATACCAAGCCATCACATGCATATATTAATGTAAAGCTAAATATTGCTATATACATCACAATAGCTTAAATCAATAAACATCAACTTGTTTGCACGCACATGATTTCCATACTAAAAATGTAATTAGTGCTATAACAACCATATCCATATACACATCCTTCGGGATCAAAAAAACCATGCCAGCCTCACAAGCATCACATCAAAATGTGACCACCCAGCTTAAAACATGCTTCAGTCCCAAAGACTAAGACATTAAAACGCTTTAGTGGCCTGTTAACTATTTTTTTTTTAAATCTTTCTGTGGCAGAGACGTGTCATTCCCATTTCCACTACCCTTATGTCAACTAACAAAAGTTCCTAATGAGCCAAGTCTCTCGGAGGCTCAACTGCTAACGCCATTAACATTACCAGAGACCTGTGCATGACTAACAGCTGTGCCCTAAGGAAACTGAACTCATACCTTCCATTTCACATAAACTGCCTTAAAGAGTATCCCAGGAAGAAAAGAAGGGAGGAGACGATGGGTAGAGAGGAAAGAAGGAAGATGTTGTCATTGCTGAGTCTGATTCATCCTGTATGGAACATATATTAATCAGGTCTGACAGAGGAAGCCAGCAAGGGTGAGAAGGACTATAATCCAGTAGTTACAAAGACATATTAGTTAGATAAAGGGCTTGAATAGTTCTCTTTCAAAGGTGAATACCATGTCCACAAGTATTTGGAGTCATATTCTCCATCCCTCTAGCCCAAAGTATACTCCATTAAAAAATAATGGAAGTGCTCCAGCAGAAGAGATTTAAAATACCTCCGCTCAGAATAACCTGGAAGTCAGTTTCCTGCTCCTCGCGACAGGGAGAAGTGAGCATGTCTGCCCTACATCCTGGGTAAGTACTCCCACTACCAGGCAATGCCTCAAAGGGAAACTGCCTCTCTTCTATCATTTTATGGGCACCTGTGGATATGTTCTTAAAATACCCTCGGGTTGACTCCTGCTGCAGGGCTTTAGACATTAGAAAGCATGGCTGAGCAGCATTCAGACAAAAGCTTTAGTTGTGTTTAAATGATCATTATGATTAGTGTCTCTGAACTGCTACAGTCTGACTACTATCTGCTAAACGTAAAGGAAATTCTTAAAATGGTACCAATGTCACTTATATTCCTTGGCAGTTGGTAACTAAAAACCCCAGCATGCCCCAAACCAGAAAAAGCTGAGCCTCCCACCCCCAAATGGTATGTAATGATGGTAGTTAATTCACACAGAAAAGATCTTTTGGGGCTGATACTTCTCTCATAGTAATTTTATGTCATTCAAGTTCCACTAACAACTGTTGAGTTTACACCATGGTGCCAAAGAGGTATGTTAGATCCTTCAACTTCAAGCTATCCAGAGCTTACTTGGCTCATTTGGCACCTCTGTGTTGCTGACACATGCAGAACTTTAACAGATGGTCTTACAATACTGGCAGTTGTTTTGTACTGTGCTAGTGGTGAGGGGAAATACTCTATACAAATTGTCTGCAATTCTGGAAAATAAATGAAGTACAAATCCATATTAACCTCAAAAGCCAAACTATAAAAAGTCAGATTAGTCAGTTAACGATGTATGTGCTCTGGGTTAAACGCTCAGTTGCTGAAAAATGGCAATATTTCCCTGCAGCCAGGAGAACTATGCTTTGCTTCAGTTTCTACCAGGAATATCCATAAACACTGCATCATTACAAAGGTATTGAAATGCATTAGGAGTCAGCCTTGAGACCCTTCCTCATGTGATCAGCCCTGACTGTCAGAAAAAGTACCTCCATAAACTGTGTGTTTTCACATAAATAGTGAAGCAACAGGGTGCAACTTAAGTTAACCGAATCTCTTTTTTCCCATGCCAAACAGAATTCAAGAAATAACACACCAGCTACTGTGCAAATGTTGAAATCAACAGTGACGGCCAAGTAAACAGCAATTTTACATTTTTCCTCACCCATTTAAAAAGAGTTGTACATACCACAAGCTGAATTTTACACTCACTAATTTCACTGGCTGCAGTGGAACTTGCACTGTACATAAAAGACCAGAATTGCTCCTCCTTGTTTCTGTCTGGCTAATTTTTTCTCTCTTACTGTGCCAAATTATCAGATATATCAACTGGGTTGAACTAGTAAGCCACGTATGCAGAATAGTGCTTTTCAAAAGTAAACCCAACAATTTCCTTCACCAGTATACAACCTCCATGAAATGTATGTTTACACATACATGTTACAGTCTACTAGTGCACATTTGGAACAGGCTTTTAGAAAATCACAAATGTTTTAGTCCAATGCTCACCTCTTCTATTTGCTTTAAATGAAACATAGCTCGAAAGATATTTCAAACTGAGATTTCAGAGGCTTGGTCATTCAGTCCCCAACCATTTCAATATATTTAGTTAGATAATATGTCAGTCACCTTGTACGTTATTTTCACGTTTAGTTACATTGAAATACAGTTCCCTTAGGTAGCTTCAAAGCCCTAGAAGGAAGCAGAACCCTAAAAACATTATCATAAAAGAGTCCTTGAAATGCAAGAGGTACATTCCAGTCTTCTGCTGAGACTGAATCAAAGCTGTATCCATTTTTAAAAAAAAATTTATTTTACCCACTAAGGTTGCTTAAAAAACATGGTTGCTGGAACTGACTGATGTTATACATTTGTGACTTTGATACAAGTGAAAAGATCTTTATCAGTTTTATGTCTAATTTTATACTGAAAGATCAAACAACTCCTAAGTTTGAAGCTGTTAGCAAAAAAAAAATATTAAAACAACTAAATTTCAGATAGGCTTCATGTTTTCTTTTCCTCCCTCAGGACTTTTGCCAGACTAAGATGACACAACATACTTCCAGAAAGTACTTATACAAATGCAAGATAATCCGTCTCTGAAAGCATAAATTATTTCTGTTCATGAAAAAAAGAAAAATCAAAAGAAATATTAAACAGACACAGCCAAAATGTAGGAACATCAATCCCTCTGCTTCTCTTCCCAGACGTAAACATTTTGTCAAACATTTCAAGCTATGATCCTCAATGTAGCACTTCGCTGTGGAACTCCCAGGAGAGAAGAGTTGGTATACATATTTTAGTACCAATGATGCAAGCATGTCCTGTCCTGGGAAGAGGTCCTCCCTTACAGATGCAGAGTATGAGATAACATGACGGGAAAACTTCATGATCATCCTTCCAGTTACTGAGAGCCTTCCCAGCTTCTACAACAACTGGTCATGGCTACCCCCTTCCTTGAGCCCATCCTCTGCAGAGCTTACCACAGGTCCACAGTGAACATTTCCTGCTCCTGGACTGTACAGAAACCTTTCTGGCAAGAGGGACATGAAACGAAAGGAGTCTCTTAGGGAAGCAAAAGGCAAAGGGAAAGGGATAGGAGCACAGGATTTATTTTATCCATTCTGACAATATCCAGCACTCTACCAGACACCTTCTAGGGAAGGTTCAAGTAATCTTGGACTAAACAATAATGGTATCATCTGCCTCCAACTGCAAGCAAAGGTCATTCTTAATGATTTGGAATGCTACATTTGCTAAAACAGTAGAGATTCAGGGGATTTATAAATCTAAAAGAGAAAAAAACCCAAGTGCAACATTTCCACAAAGAGATTACATCTGTTAGTGAATATGGATCTTTGTGCTGCAATTCATGTCCCAAGCTGGGCATTACTCAATTTTGATATAACAAAATCCTATGCAATCAAAACGTAGTTTGTCTTTGTGATTTATCTCTTTGCCCTTCCTATCTAATATTTTCTGAAATAATATCCAAAATTTTTCTTCTTAAATACCTTTATAGTTTCAGTAGGCACTCCAGGGTCTGGAACTTTATCCAAGTAAGTAGTCAAGTCTTGATCCACGTGTTCAAACACTAATGTTAACTTGGTCTCTCTGTCTGTTCGTGACACGGTGCACACATCAAACAATCTGAGAGGAAAAAAAGAAAAGAGGAGGTAAGTATACAGGAACCAGTACAGACATATATACCTTGCAGCTCATACATGTCTATTTGAATTTCTTACAGTATATAGAATGGAAAAAAGAGCTTTCCAAAGGTAGAGCAATCTTGGAGCTCTTGATTCATCAGATAACTACTGATACATCAATAATATCATGTATCTCTTTCATGTGTTGATTCTGAAATAGGATTAAGTATTAAAAATTCATCAGCTGTTCGAAGTAAAATAATCACATGAAAAGAAAATATTTTTTGGACAGAGCAACTAGAGTTAATACAGAAAATGACTTGATATTTATCCACATTCTATGCTGCAGCACTTACAGTCATTTAAAAAAAAATTGTGAGAAACATTTTTGAGAAAAAATATACAGGGTGTTTGCATGCACCCTCACTTTCTTCCCACATAACTCCCATGTTCACTATTACATGGCTTTATAATTAAATTTCCTTTGGCAGAAACAGAATTTTTTTGCTAATTACTCTTGCAAGTTCCTGGATGCAAGGAATACCTTCAGAGTCAGGATACAGTCTGGAAAAAAGCTTTGTGCACAAGATACCACTACTAAGAAGTTTTCTTCTCTCATCACTTTCTGTCATTCTTTTACTGAAATTTCTTTATCATTTCACCTCGTTGCACAACATCAAATTCAAACTAATTTGCAAAGCTCTTCATAATGTCACATTCCTATCTGATTACTCTATTTTCTATTGTTTTCTCTTTTTAATTAGGATTTCTGTCATCTTCTCCACTTCATCTACCGTACCAGCTTTAATCACTGTTTTATCTTTTTCACAAATGTTTGCCCATCCTTATATGCTTCACACCTATACTCGTATCAGTGACTATCCTTCCTCAAGTCCCACTTCTACAAAATCACAACAGGAAACTATCTTACAGATGGAAGGGCGCTTGTTCCCCGCTCACATACTTTAATAATGTGTTTATTCATTTAGTTTTAAATTGTACAGATCAGATTGCCTTTCTCTCTGAAGCGAGGCAGAAAATCAATTGCTACTTTTATTAGGTGACAGTACATTTAAAAAATGTATGAATACAGTTGTTGAGAAAAAAGTCTACACAGTTAAACTGAAGAACCTATCATTGATAACAGACTAAAGTAGTGTTGATACTAGTGCTTATTTTGGTCAACATCATCGCAGTTGCGTTGCTTTATTACATGTATCTTTCATCCTCTTACTTAGAGTAACTGCTTCCTTACTTTGTGCAAAGTGCAGGATCTCTGATAACATTATCAAGTAATATTTTTGTTGTTTTTCCTAGGACTGAAGGCTTTATATGCAGGAGCTGTGGACAACAGATCATGCACAAAGCCTTGGGGGTCACTGCTTTTCAAAGAGGACATCTGACAAATAGACTAGGAAAACACTTTGCACTGAGTTTTTACTTCTTACCTTAAATCTCAAAACATTTCACAAGAGAAGGGAAGATAAGAATTGGCACAACTATCTGTAAAGACTGTAATCCAGGTTTAAGAGAGCAGTATGTTTCACTTGAGATGATACAGATTTAACATGTTAAAGCCGTGGTCCCACTTTGACAGCATTTCCCAAATAATCTTTGGTAAGACACTTAAAAATTGTCTATTAGCCACCATGTTTTGAAAATGGAAGCATGCACATTCGTTTTAGCTTAAAGAAGCTTTTTCAGTGAGTAACAATTTGGGAACCAGAGTTACAGAATATGGAGAGACTGTCACCCTACCTCTACTAGAAGAGTAATCTGTACTTAATCTGTAATCATCATATGAACAAATATTAATTAAATTATTATGGTAACATAGTGACTGTAACAGTAAATGTCTCGGCACATTTCTCATAAAGACAAATACTGTTCTCTTCATGATTCTCTTAATGGGGTGTACATGGAAGACAGATGTCTTGTACACAGTAAATCAGTTTTGTGAAAAGTCACAAACCTTCCTGAAAAGTGAAATTTGCTGGTATTTGGCTGGAGGTTAATAATCTGCAATATATTTATATAAATCAATGTGGAATGTAGCCGGACTGCCTATAACCCCAACACATGCAAATAGAGAGGAGCCAGACAGGTCTGAACATCTGAACATAAACACTGGAAAATATTTCCAACTGTATGATTCCTTTGTGTTGACCTACATTTACCTAAAAATGTTCTAAAACACCTTTTTTGCCAGGTATTTAATACAGTGGCAAAAATATCTTTTCAACTATAGCAGAATTATAATTTAAGAAAAAAAGGAAAAAAGATTTCACTGTATAGAATAGAGACGCAACATGTAATTTCCAACTCACTGTGAAGGCAAATGCTGATTCTCTGTTTAATTCATCTGTATGTGGCTTATTTTGATTCTGGCATTTTCTGGCACAGCAAAATAAGGAACTCAGAGGAGCGCAATTCTAGTTACCTATTACTGAGTAATAGTATTATCTTCCCTTTTTATACACTCTTTATGTGAAACTCTAAATGCTTTACTGTTAATAATAAAAACTCCAGATCCTGCACCAGGCTGGGTGCAAGCACATCGTGTTTACTCACAGAAAATACAGCTGCTGCTTTAGAAAGATAATAATTTAAAGCACAGCTTATGTGAATCCACGATATTACCAAAAGACAACATCTGGCATCTGCTAATCATTCTGGAAATAGATCGAGAAAGATGCAGCCTCTTTATTTAGTAGTTTTCCTAAGGATAAAACTCCTTTTTATAAATTATTTTCTTTTACATCGACTGTGAGAAAATCATCCATAAAGTTGTCTTCTTTAGCTAGGAACATCTCTGCTGTCTACCGTGCACATCTCTCAAGCCATTTCCTCATGATTTTCTGTATGTGACGGGTTAGTTTTGCATGTGATTGCCTCTCTGGAACAGGCAACAGCAGAAGGCCTTTTATTTAAAGAGTTACTATGTGGACACTGTCCTAAGTGAAGTAAATGTACCTCAATTAATACAGGATTTCCATGCTGAATACTTTGTAAACACAAGCCCTGCCCTTCTATTGTACTTACAAAAGAAACGTTTGAATTATTTGATGAAAGTAAGATCCGCTATGGGAAATCCTGCAAGTATTTAACAAGATGTTTGGCTGGGAGTCATACACCGCCTGATGTGTCAATCTGAACTGGAACACTGTTAAACAGACACTTACGGAGTACCTGTGTTTTAATGAAGACATTTTTCCAAGTTAATTGTGCTAAAGTAAAAAAAAAAAGCTTGTCAGCTACAAATGTCTGTTTTATTTTATGTGTCTAGGGCCTAGTGGATCTTAATATAGCCTAGCAGAATACCTGCCTTCCTACAAAAATAATTTGGTTTTTTTGAATGCAGAAAACTAGATGATGCATCTTGAAGTCTCCATAGCTTCTTACAACAAGTAATATGACAAATGCAGCCTTAGCTCATCTTCGTTTTACAATATACAGTCTGAATGCTTAATGCCTTTATAAGAAAAGACACAGTTATGCCAATTCCTTTGAAAACTATTGCATCTACTGACTGGTACTAATTTGGTAACTGCTTCTGGGAAGTCCTTAAATGTTACTGGACTTGCTTTTGAGATGCTCTGAGAACTGCTATAAAGTTACCCACTTTCAAGCGGAATAAGCTTTTTTTTTCCTGAGAAAACTGAGATAACAGTGATGGAGACCAAACCCATCAGCCCAAGCCACCTGCAAAAAATACCAAAAACTGGATCTGACTGTAAGACCTGAAAAACCATAGGACATCAGTTCTCTTGTCTATTGTCAAACAGATGAGTAAGTACATCTGGAAAATTAGCCAGATCACAGTCAAAGGGAAGACCAAAGAATTAGATACTTGCTGCCAATGCATCGAAAAGCTTATTGTTATTTTTATTGCAGTAGGACTAATCCAACATGAACACATATCCCTTTACTTTGCTGGTCACTCACAGCACTGAACAAAAACACAGTCCTTGTCCTCTAAAGTTTTTCAATAACATGGATTTACTTTAATTTTCTTGGGAACAGTGTCTTCCTAGGAAGAGTTACTTCCTAGCTTATGCATGACAGAGAAAGAGAACTGGAGCCATTGATTTATGAGTAGGAGAAATGTTTAAGAAGACTGTGGTGTGGTAAGTAGTGGCATAGTAATACGCTACAGTTTTAAGGTTTCATAAGTCTGGACAAAGACTCAGATGGAAAGAGTTTGGTGGTCTCAACCTAACTCCAAAAGGTATTTATCCACATGACAGAAACCAGCACAGAATTTATGTATGATTGACAGTGTTTATGCAAACACCACAAGATTGGGATACCAAGACTACTACAGGTCATGATTGAGGTTTATTGACAAATATGTGCAGGGGAGCCTGAAAAGCTTCTGCTTTCACTGCTTTTGGCTCGGGTTAATCCTGTGAGTCCATAACTTTCAAGGGCACAGAAAATTTCAGCCTCTCACACCTAAAAGCATTGAAGAATGACAGTCAGGCATCCTTTGAGTCCAAATTTCAGCAGCAGCCTTAGACTCTTCTGTTCTCTGGAAGCCACTCAGCAGCAAGCCCAACAAGTTCACCCCAACTTCTTAAACTATGTACTCCTTGGAAAAAAGTTTTCCCCATACTTTTAATATTAGCTACCTTCTCCGTTCTTGCTTTTGAAGAGGAAAAAGGCTGCTAACAGAAACCAGTCTCTACTTGGAATCACATATACCCAATGTATTGTAACAAAGGGGTCGTATTTCAGATGAAGAAGACAATAGCTGGGCAAGTGGAGTGGAACATGTGCGTTACGAGAACCATGTCCCACGTAGCAAAACAGGAAACAGAGCTTCACACTCTGAAACGTATGAGAGAGCTCTTTC